AGTCTGATTTTCAATCTCTGCGTCACGGAGGACCGTTGGAACTGTTGGTATGATGTTTGATTGACAACATAACTATCACGGTTTCAATTCTCGGTAGTGGATGCTGATGAGTCCCAGGACGAAATAGCTGGCCAGTGCCTTCTGCATTCTGTTGAGGTTTCAGACTCGATGAATTACTTAAATAGAATTATCAAATCCTCCCAATAATTTGTATCTGATATATATATATATATATGCAGCAATTTTCTTTGATGCATGTTTCATTAAATAATATAGACAAGTTTTGTTTATTTATTTTAAGTAAGTTCCTTTCACATTGTCTGATAAGATTAATAACATTATCATTGAAAGACGAAAGGAAATCGCCATATTGATACATGTTAAAATCCTATCTAAGCTTTCGGCTTACATAAGCCATTATCGGAGATGACAATTACATTTCACTATATCAAACAATACACGGACGAATCTATAATGATATTCTGTTTTTGTTGCATAAAAAATTTCAAATCAACGACAAACTCGTGTTTACGAGACGAGGAAGCGAAAATCTATATATATATATAAAGTACATTTTAATTGTGTGTCAAAGCAACTCCCACGCAACCACGGGCCCAATTTCAATGATTCATAGCTCGTTCAAAAGCCCGAGAAAAGTTAGGTGCCGGGATCAATTTTCGTTGAACTCAGATTCAGGGTTGCCAAATTATGCGAGTGTAAAAATATATATTGATATATTAAATTAACCATTATAATTGTTTTCATGGTTCAAGGGGAGTATTTTAAACTTTCTAACAGGCAGCATTCACGCTAGCTCCTGTAGAGGATTCTTGGTTTGGTTATCATAACAATAGCTAGGGAGGAGTAGACGTGATGGCCACCAATAAACTACAGAAAAAATCAAAATTGATCGCTGCATTTAAGTATTGCTTTAATGTTTAATCTTCCCTTTTAAAAGTTCAACGATAATCCATTTGCTGCCACTTAATTTAAATTTAAAACGATTTGATGAACATAGATCCTTATTGTCCGTAAAGACAATTATTTTTATTTCATGGGTGACAGAACAGGGGAGAATTTTGAGAATAAAATTAATATAGTTTAAAGATGGGAAAATAGAAAATTAGAATTAGTTATACATTGAACCTTTGAAGATTTAGAGAAAAACAATAGCTAATTAAGGAAAAATATATTATTTAATCCATATGAATAAGTGCGAAATTGGAACTCAATTCACCACCGAATTCTGAGACTAAAAAAAACCCTAGTTCTACTTTATAGTAAATTGGTTGTGGCATAACGTCAGTTTAATATGTAGAGCCCGAGCGCGTAAAACCGGGCTAAGATCAAAATTTGCCGGACCCCTCCTGTCTCCGAAAACCCAGATTGCTCTGGCCTCGGTGCAAGCACCGATCCCTCTCACTAGTTCAATATGAGGGTGCCGCCTCGGGCTGGTGTTCTGCAGGGTTGGTCACCTCTCAGAATAATTTCCCTCACTTGCGACACTGTCCGTCGACGGAGGCGCCCCTCAGCGTACTCTGCCCAAAGAAAGAAACCCAACTGAGAGATGACAAATAAACGTGTTACATACTGCTTTATAGTAATTTGGTATTTACTCGAATCCTCACAAAGTCGCGTTGTGACTCAATGTCGGTTTGATGTGGGGAGCCCGAGCGCGTACACCCGGGCTAGGAACAAACAGTCCCCGATTCCCCGAAAAACCTTAGTTTCTCTAGCATTGGGGTGAGCAACGATACATCTATCTCTAGTTCAATGAGAGTGGGCGGCCTCGGGCAGCTGATCCCTAGAGTTGGGCATCACTCAATATAATTTTCGTCTGTTGCGAATCTGTCCTTCGACGGAGCCACCCTGAGCGCACTCTGCACAAAGGCAGAGACGCAACTAAGAGATGATTAATAAACGTGTTATAAACTACTCGAGATTACCTAACCCGAGCCTCACGAGGTCATGTTGTGACACAAATTCGAATTAAGTGCAAAAATTCCCCGAGCCCAGCAACTCTCCGTTGCGCTGACCTCGAAACGAACACCGATGCATCTCTCTACTTCAATGACATGGTGCAGCCTCGGGCAGCTCTTTCACAGTGCTGGCCAGAACTCAGTATAATTTTCCTCAGTTAAGACTCTGTCCTTCTCCGAAGCCGCCCCTGAGTGAACTCTGCCCAAAGAGAGACACGCAACTGAAAAATAATAAAAAAAACGTGCTACAAACGACTCGAGAGTAATTTCTATTAAATCAACCCCCACGAGGTCAGGTTGTGACAAAAGGTCGGTTTAATATGTCGTGTATACCCGGGCTAAGTGGAAAAATTTTCCGAACCCTAGCAACAGTCGGTTACTTGGCCTCGGTGCGAGATTCTATCCATCTCTCTGATGCAATGAGAGGGCGAGTCTGCAGGCAGCTGTTCCCCAGGTACTGGAACATCTAAGTACAATTTTTCTCACTTGCAACTCTGTCCTTTGACGGAGCCGTCCTTGAGCGCAGTCTACCCAAAAAGAGAGACGCGACTGAGAGATGATAAAAAAGGTTGTTACAAACAACACGAGAGAGTAATTTACACACGTTATTTACTCTGTCTACCCACTAAGACGAGTTGTGACACAAGGTCAGTTGGCAAGGTGGGAAACCAAGCGCGTACATTCGGGCGAGGAACAAAAATTGCTGGCAATTAAGCAAGCGAATTGGACTAAAGTGCCATGCAGATTTAAATTTTTCTCACTTGTGATGAATGCAGCTATCGATTTGTTTGCATGCTAGCATGCTAGTTAACATCCGTGTAAGAAAGCTGTGGGCTCTCATGCTGGCCAATAGAATCTTTATGTCTATTCGTGGCAGCCAGCTATTGGCTATCACTCTGGCCAGTAGAAAATGGCCGCAAACTACATTAAAACTGCCATAGGAGCATGGAAAAATCGATTATTTCCACTATCGATGGGAGTTGGGAAATGCAAAGTCGGTCTTGGCCTTCCTGCTAACTTGGAGCATGTGCATGTAAATTTTGTTACAAATCAGTCGAAAATTGCGGCCGTGCATTCGTTACACATAAACACACATCCTGCCTTATATATATATATATATATATACACACATATATATATATATATATATATATATATATACACACATATATATATATAAATTTTGTTTGAAGTAGCACTATATCAACTAGTTTGAAGTGTATTGATCTAGTTGTATCTATATATTTGGTCAAGTTTTATTTAATAATGAAATCAGTGACTGCATTAATAATCAATTGTGTATATTTTCGTTATAATTTGATTATTATTCGCAAAATTAGTGCACTATCTGCTAATTATCCAATCGACTCCCGTTGTGTTCTAAATCAATTATGAATCAATTTTATTATTGATATGTTCTGGTTATGAAATTATTGTTATTCCTGTTCGACTGAAGTCAAGTTTTTACTTACTATTTTTAGAATTATTCATTAGTAATGATTTCCAAAATTATCATGAATCGCATAATTAATTAACTATAGTTATATTATTGTATCGAGGTAATGTTATCGATTAACTACAATCAACATATAAATTGGAACACCTGGGGGATATTGCACTATATTCTAGTGAAGAGTATTATTTGGTCATTTCTAGTTGGCCAATTCGAGGATTCCTTTCTGCAATTGTATTGATATATCTTGAGTCTAATGCCTACAAATGTATCTTCTGTACATTTAATTTAATACACCGAACTGATGTGAAATTCAAATAAATCTACTTATGCCCATAAAATGCTATTAGATACCCAGTGATTTACACCTGCATTATGCAATATTGTGAGATGATTTAATTTTGGCTTTTATTGTAGATGGTTTTAGACAATTAGTAGATAAGAATCTCTATATACAAACATTTTCAATTTCCGCCTCTTTGATTATTTACCAAGCTTAGATAAAACTTAGTACAAGTTTGCATTAGTGGGATTTCAAATGAGAATGGTACTAATTATAATAATTAGAACATCTTATATAAGATGAGGTTATAGATCGCATTACACTCAGCGTTTTAAACGGAACTAATATTTACATAAGCTAAAGAAAGGCACAGCTATGAGGTAACATTGAGCTCCTCATCTCAGCCACGTCAGCTACGCGATGGGCTATGGCTCGCGCATCAATATGCTTTCCCGATTCCTATTTCATGGCTAATAATAAAAATAACAGAGAATATTCATTAAATTATACAACCCGTAAACTAACGTTTTGTTATTTAAATAAACCGTACTAAACAATGTTTTCAGAATCAAAAACATATTCGCCTAGATATTTCCCTTTTCGTTACAAGAACGTAAACATTTTGCCAGCAGCAAGAAATATTAAATTATATTTTTTTTCCATTTTCTTTAATCTCATAGTCTTCTTTGAAAATTGAATATTGAAGAAATATTAAAGTAATACAAACATGTCATAATTTCTCGAAAATATCCAGCAATTAAACACTTTTTTTTTATTAAAATTCGCTTTGACACTACAAAAATAAAGAAATAAAGCAATGTTTTGGCGTCTGGAGACAAAAGACTGAATATGTGCCAAGTTTTATTGGACGACGTTCCACGATTTTACAAATGTGTATGATTGCTTTCAAAAACATACGTTGTATTTAAGCAAAGTTTTTGCTAGAAATCAATTTGCTTTTCCGCAGTGGTCAAGTTTGACACAAGGTCGGTTTAATGTACGTTCCTACACGGAGAAAGGTCAATGGGTGAAACTTCTTAGGAAACGGGTCACTAGAAACCAGTCTCAGATATTGTTATTATTATCTACTTTCACAACGTTTTCGACTGTAAAACTTGCTTTTGGTTCGTCTTTATCAAGTCGCCCGATCGCAGAGTGAGAACAGATTTCGCAGAATATTTGCATCACCATGTAAAACAAACATCGGGAATGGTTGAATATTGGGTACTAATTTGATTTGTTCAGCATATGTAGAGATCCCATGAACATTTTGCCAACTTCTCACTATAGTTGAGAGTTTTTCATTATTATTTAGTGTTCTCCATAATTGGAGAGTTGGATGCAACTTTAGGAAATTGTATCCACTAGATAGATAGATAGATAGATAGATAGATAGATAGAAAGAAAGAAAGAAAGAAAGAATGAATAGAGAAAGAAAGAAAGCTTGGAATACATGGGCAGATAGAGAGATACAAAAAAGAAAGAAAGTTTGGGATAGATAGATAGATAGATAGATAGATAGATAGATAGATAGATAGAAAGAACGAAGGAAAGAATGAAGAAAAGTTAGGAATAAATTGATAGATAGACAGACATATAGATAGATAGATATATAAGTAGATAAATAGATATGAAGTTCGCAATAACATTTCAGATAGATATGAACAGTTTTAGTGAAACAAGCAGATAGATAGATAGATAGATAGATAGATAGATAGATAGATAGATAGGAAGGAAGAACAGAAAATAATAGCAAGACAGAGTGATTAATAACTAAAGTTGCGTACTTTCACTTTTTGAAACATGAAAACCTCTTTAAATTTATCAATATGGACACAGAAATTACTATTCCGGATCGAGATTGAATATCTCCAATTTTAGACGTAAACTCGTCTTGGCTATGACAGTAAACTACATTCACGTTCTTGATAAGACGATAAACTACATCCAACTGTAAGGCCTCTGATCAGGAGCTTTTGAGGAGCGTATAACCACCTCTAAATTGTGGTGTTCCCAGGTCGACTGTGGCCCTGGGTGGTAACACCTGTTAGGGTCCCAGCTATGGGCAAAAAGTTAACCCCCAAACTAGGGTCAAAGCACTATGAAAGTGTAAGAATATGTTTTAATACCAGAAATTCTTTGTAAGAAAATATTACCAGTAATACATTTTTGGAAAATTACCAGCGATACTTTAAAATAAAAGTACCAGCTATACATTTTTTGAAAAAAACTAATATAACCAGCGAAGGAAAATTATTAACCAGAAATAGATTTTTGAGGGGAAAAATGGTACCAGAAATGGATTTTTTTTTTTTTGAAAGAAGGAATATTACCAGAAATAGATTTTTGGAAAAAATATTACCAAGAATGAAGATTTTGTCGGCATTAAATGACCCATTGAGGTGGATATGCCGTATAACAAACCAAACCAAACTTCTATACGTAGTCTGAACATTTTTCATTTAATTTTCCATTCATACACACTTAATCTACGAAAACCGACAGGTGTTTTACAGACTACTTGTAAATATTAGACTACTAGAAAGTATTTTAAAGAATATTTCTGGAATAGTGGGGATCTTATACGCCCGAATTATTCTATTGTCAGTGCGCGATCGAGTGGTTAGTATTTCCGCGTTTCGACAATGAAACCGCAGTCGAATTGTCAGATCTTGAAAAAAGTGGAATTGTCAGATCTTGAAAAACGATCCCAGTGCGAGAAATGCCAAACTTTGTATGTGAAACAGGTTCGAGAAAATGATTCGGAAGCCATCGATTGTTGTATTATCACAACGCTCCAAGTCATCAAGACCAAATGTTTCAGCGTACCCCTCGTTTAAACTACTGAACACACCATATTAAGCGCTATTTCATAGAAACTCTAATTAAAGTCCACTAATCATCGCTGAAGTATAAACCATTCGTTAATTCTGTAGTTGTTGAGCGAACGCAAATGTTCTTGAACAGACGTCTGATACAGGAATTATGCGTGTCTACGTATACCTGCCTACTGGGGGGTTATAACCAGCTAGCAGACAGGCATACGCGTGGTCAGCTAGGGTATACGCCAGAATTTATGGAGTTATCTCCATCTTAAATTTAACCGCAAGTGTTCTACGCAGTGGTAATCTGAGAAGTTTCTTACATTTTTATTTAAATTTTCTTTTCTCTTTCGTGCAAATTTCCTTCAAAATAACTTGGGCTAATGTTACAATTTTGCTTCATATTTTTTTGTGAGAATCATGGCTGATTATAAACTCTAAACCTAAGACTGTGTTCTCTTCATATTTAATTTGGGACAAATGTAGTGGAAAGGCTGCAATGGATCAGTGAATCATAAGTTAATCTGGCTGCAAATTTAAGCAGCTGACGGAAACGATTGCCTGAATTTATTTATACCCATTTTGCGATAAAGAATAACGAACTCTCTTGAAGATTTCAGGAATTAAAAAACCTAATTAATCGGTTGAGAGATAGAGGAAATACTTTGAAAACCTGAAATTCTGAATAAATAAGTAAAAAGTGATTCATTTAAAATATATTTTTAAAATTCGATCAATTCTGACGTAAGGAAATTTGATCGACTGGAGGCCGTAGGCGAGCAGAAATCGACATACATTCCTTTTCGTTTGATATGATATCTTTGTCTGTGGACTGATATTCGTTTATTTCCCCATGTTTTAATTCAGTGGTGGCCTTCTCCTAAACTGGCTACCACCTACGGCAACAAATCTTATGTGCAATTGTCCTGATATTATATGTGGCTAGAACTGGTGTTTAGTCGGATATGATCGTTAGTGTGCAGTGGACTGTGAATATAAAAATCAGTCTTTTTTTCACCAAGACCATGGCTTTATTATATTAAGAAATAACAATGTAGTCTCAATCAGTTAATTTTATTGTTCACTAATAGGGGAATTTTGCCGACTATATTTCAGTCAAAGAGAGTTAGACAGTGAGTGTGAGAAGCTCCCAACACTAATCTTTTTTTCAAACCATGTGCTTCTACAAAGCTAAAAATTAACCGTAAATAATTTTGTGTTAAGGACCTACTTTTCTTACCAGGAAATCTCGCGTTATCACCAACTGATCATTCTTCAGTCTATTTGTCACAATATAAAGGTAACTGCCCACACTGCTTCTTATACTTTTTTTCTTGTGGGACGGTGACCGTCATCTGACCCTATCAAATTTGTACCAATTGTGAAACACTTTCAACAATTTATTGTTACGTTTTACTCGTTCTTTTTTTGTTTTTTTTTTTACTCAGCAGATTATTTTTTTTTCTTTTTAGTCATTAACATCACATCATTCGCTTTTGCTTTAGTCTACTCTTCTGTTTAATCTATAGTTTGAGTTTCCAAGGATATTACTGCGAAAGTCTACTCTACTAAGCCAACATCTGAAATATGAATATTAATTAACAGTATTACCCGGGTCTTTCTTTATTGGTAATTTTTGCTGTTCGACTGGAGCAGTTTAAGGTCAGCCCACACGAAAGTCAGTGTATTGATAAAAAATAGTTGGGTGCAACTGAGGCACTTCTCCAAATGCAGGGCTAACAATTTGAATGGGGGTGACCCTGAAAATGGCCATGTTTGTGTTCTCAATCTTGTTTCAGCTTCAGGTGTAGCAGCAGTTGAAGAGGCATATCTGCTCAGTCGTTGAGTCATTTGATCATCATTTTCAGCCTCGCGTGCAGACACTTTCAGGTATGCTATTCTGTAAAGCCGATGGCTAAAGTGATCTTCGGACTCATTAGCTCTGACTGAAGCACTCCGAGAGGCATTATAAGACAGGCAAACTTAACGTTCTAAAGACGATTCGTTATCTCTTATTCGCATGGCGCACTTGGCGACAGCGGTTTTGGTACCTAGACAAGTTCTTTTCCTTGGTGGCATGTCATAGGCAAGTATGAACTGTCAAATGGAATGCGTGGGCGAATACCAGAAGGGAACGCTGTAAATTTACAGTGATCACTAAGCTCGAATAACTTTAGGACTGCGTAGACAATCAGTGTAACCCGGCAACATTTGATTGGACGTGTAAAGGGGCTTCATACAGCCAATAGGCAAATCGAACAAGTGTCGCGTTCTGCAGGTCATCCGTATGCGCGTGCATCAGCACATAACACATCGCGTGAAACATTGTGTGTTGCCGGGCCAAACGAACAAGGTCAGCAGCAACCGATGGGCAACGTGTAGAGGTGTGAACCACGCCGACAGCGTGAGCTAGGATTGGAAGGTTATGTGTTAAAAAGTAAATTAAATTTATCCTTTGAATTTTGCACAAAATGTAAAAAAAAACTCATATTTTTCGATTTACAGGTTGTAATTTTTTCCAGTCAATTTGCACTCAAAACTGGCACTGAAGAATTATCTGTCAAACAGAAAATGTCATCGAAATCAGATAAAAACTGTGGAAACTCATAAATAGCATCCAATCACACAAACACACACGCATACACACAGATTTTGAGAATTATAGATAAAGATGCTATTATTACAATAATTTAAACTATTTATTTTTATTAAAGTTTTTATGAAATATATATATCAAAGAACAGATAGTAAATAGTAGAACATGGCTGGGAGTTATAATGGACATGAAGTAGTCGAGAGCCATTGTCGCCAACAATCTGGACTCAAAACCGGCACTGAATTATCATATATCAAACAAAAAAAATGTCTGTTAAAACGTATAAACAACATCCGATCACACATACATACATACATACACACATTTTGAGAATTATAGATATAGATAACAGGATAAGCGCTTTCCTTACAAGCAAACGGTTGGGATCCGTAGACAAAATTACTTTCAATTAAAATGTATAAAATGCCTCTTTTTCAAGACTAAATTTTCTCAAGTATGCTAACAGTTATCTGCCTTTTCACCATCGATAAGTGCTTCTTTGCTAACATTTTGTTTGAAGTAATGTGGAAAGTCAACGTTTTCATTATATCAATATTCTCTCTTTGAGTCACATGTGTTCTCCATTTTAACTGGCGCTGCTTTTAAATTCTTCAAATGATTTGGCTTCCCTTATTTGGTATTTGGTCATGATTACCATTAAACGAATGACGGAAAAATAAAAAATATATTACCATTTAAACACTTGTTATTATCTACTAACTCGACACATCCATTCTCTTTGCGAATATACAATCTGCGTACAATTCCTGGATGTGTTCACACAATATTTTTAAGGCAATTCACCCCAGGCAAGGCGGGAGTACCACTAGGGGTTACAGAGGATTGAGAACAACAGTAAAGAGGCATGTTTGAGGAAAGAATACAAAGAACGACGGGGAACAGGTTCAGGTTGTCAGATGTCGATTGATATTACACTTGAATATTTGAAGATTATAGTTATCAGGGAAACAATGAAGATGGAAAAGAAGTTCCACAGACGAGACGTGTGGGAAAAGAAGCTCTTTGAAAAAAAGAGATTATATTCAGCCATTTTGACAGTGAAATTGTGGTACCGAGAAGCCAGCCTGGTAGCTCGTTTAAATTCATGTAGTCCGGTAACCAGCGAAAGTAGCTCGTCGTGAAAATATTTGGAGAAGCGAATGGGGGAAGACACGACACGTCATTGGAATAGCGACTGTTGACTAGATGCAGATCAGGAACTATCATTTTGTATATTCGTCTCTGGATTTTGTCAAGGACCTGGAGATGACTTCATCCGACCAAATCTATAAATGCGGCTCAGCACACGTCAATAAAACTGGAATTAGACGTTCTTCCACATCTAGACAATTTCTCTGTGATATCTTTTGTACATCTCGTTTCAAGAAAATATCAGAAAAAAGTTCGTCCAAGTCTTCATAGAATAAAAATCTATATCATTTATGTTGTAATAAGCAATTTATCTAATATTAGGGAAGTTAATATAATTATTTTTCGTATTTACCACAATGTGTAACCTGGTATATTATTTGTCTTTCTCATAATGCTAGTTTCATTCAGTCATTCTACACTAATATCTAATAATTTCCTTTTCATATTTATAGAAGTGAGAGTTAAAAGATTCTTCAGTCTTCTTCAAGAATAAATAGCGATGGACAAAATGACCAGAGCGCAGGAAAACAAATAAGAACACAGTAGTATTCAATTTGAATGTGTATTCTAAATAAACTACTTAACCTTATCAGTAAGACGCTGTGACTGAATAAACGCAGTCAATTCAAATTTTGCTGGTGTCTTATTTTATACCCTATCCGTTTTTCTTCATTAATGATTATGTATTGTAGACCTGGGGTTTCAAATGAACAATAGTATAATAATAATGGATAATGATTAAAGCAGAACAAGGGGTATCAATGCTAAAGTCAGCACGGATTGTGTTCACAGAAACAAGTATCAGAGAAGTTATTTGGCTTTTTTTTCGCAAGGGCATTTCGTGTAAATAATAAATCCGCAGAACAAACTTTACAGGAGAATTCTCTGAAACACTCTATATTGATCAGAATATAGACGTTATCATGTAAAACGTAAGAAATTTTGAAGTAAATATACTTTGGAAGTTGTTATAATGACAACACACGTAAAGATGCTTATCTGAAAATAATGTCCAATGGACTCAGAAATTGACAGTTGAAGCCTGATATTTTGTAACAGCGAATGAAAAACGACTCTGTTTGAGATGTCGTCAGCGATTGACTTGAGACATATTTTTGATGATTTCACTCCAAGCAAGAGGATAAAGACACCTAATCTCAAGGGGTTATTGAAAGTAAGGAAAACGTTGCGGAGAAAAGACGGTAAAAGAAACCGGGTTGACGGATGATAGAAATAACGATTGACATGACATTTACATTTTTGAAGATTTCAGTTGGCAGAAAGTAAGAATTTTGAAGAGAGTTCAGTAAGCGAGGGTAAAAAAAAAAACAAACATATTAGAATATAAGTTGCGATTTTGAGTTAGCTCTTTCAACAGTAAAATAATGGAAAAATTGTGGGGAAAATAGAAATGGCTTACCTCCCACACGCCCTCGCGTCTGTCTAATCTAGTACTACACTTACATTTATGAAGTAGATCCATCAAAGAAGAAAGCGCATCAAAAGAATCAGTACGAAAACATTTAGAGAAAATACCCAGGGAAGCCACGTTATGACTTTGGCAAAATGAGAGATCAGGTCGTGACCAATAACATCGCAGATTCTTATTTGGATATTGTCAAGTATCCCGAGATGCATAGCAGAAACGCCAAACAAAATCCGGCAACAATATTCAATGCACGAACGAGAGTTAGATTTACAAATGTGAAACAATAGACGGAAAACATTCTCTAGCAACTCACGGTGCATTCTTTGCATTCCCTCTTTGTTGGCAAACTTATAATATGCTAACTATAGAATGGTGATCTGATAATGAACAGGATACAAATTTACTTGCGTACTTGATGTTACCTCTTAAACCAGTGTTAAACATTATTAAACAGGAATATATATTGTATATACCTGTTATAATTTCGGCTGTATAGCCACAATTATAACAAACCTGTAATGGTTGACATAGACACTTAGTTGCTACAACCAAAACATCACGAATTGAAAGTTAAAAGAACACGAATAATTCTTGTTATTCATAAATGTATTTTAAA